AACAGAAATCGTTGTATATTTCCATCAAGCTTAGTTGAGGTATATAAATACCCAACAGTACATTCTAGAAGATTTACTAGCAAGAAAGAAATAAATAAAATACAAAAACTTTCTAATTTCTAAAGATAAGATTCCAAATCTTCTAAAATTGATTACCCTATATTTGGTAGATATATATTTGGTTGATACCGCAAAACAAACGGAGCCTTAGGCTCCATTCACGCAAAGCCCTTGTCGCTTATTCTCTCGTCGCTGCCTCCTCTTTGCCTTTTTCTCATCTCTCTTAGCCTCCAGAACTCCTCCTCCTCCAGCTCTGCCGCCGCTACTGCTCTCCTCCTCCTCTTTCGCCCCCCCACAAAAACCAAAGGGAAGCTTCCTTTGATCCTTCTCTCTGGACCGAGCGTTTGTAGAATCTCTCTTTCTCGAGGGTCCGATTCTCTTTGCTTGGCAGCTTCCAATCGCTAGAGAAACCATATCTCTTTCAACACAACTTGGAGAGATGGCATGGGTGATTAAGTCGTTGGGTTTAAGCAATGTCAATTACTCTAACTCTAAAGTGGATGGATATGATGAAATTACCCTTGGATCGGTTTTTGACTATCTTGTTGAAAAAGAAAAAATTGAAAAAGCATTCATGAGTGCGAATCTTCAAAAAGTGTGGATTGATAAATTTCTATGCAAAAGAGAACATAATCAATGAGACATTTTATTGAGCTTTGTTGCTAAAACAATCATATGTGTTCTTTCTTTTTATATTGTTATTATTAGTACTTTGAAATTTTTTTTATAGTATGGATATTATTGATTTAATTCTATGTGTCGCATTGCTTTCAGGAAATGGGTATTCTTTTTTTTTTGTTGAACCTGAAAGCGATGAAAACAGAGCAACTTTGATTGAAAACAGAGAAAACGACCCAAGATGGTCATTGTTGTTGCTTTTCCTCTCATTTTTATTTTTGTTGTTGCTTTTACTCTCATTTTCTTCACTGCTCTGGCTTGATTGCAAAACGACCCAAGATGGCCTTGAAAATGGACTTGTCTAAATCCATGTGGGTGGCAATGGCTGTTTTTTTTTTTTGGGTCCAAAGTGGCAATGGCTGTTGGGTACTCCAAAAATGGGTGCTCAAAAGAGGCCAGACTCCTGTACCGGGACGTGTTGTTGCAGTGCGTTGTGCCAAGCAAGTTTTGCCTTGTCATTGGCCTTAAAGGCAAGTGCACATTTGATGGATTTATGGCACGGTAAGGCAGTGCATCCCAGGTGATGAAAATATTTTCCGGGTCTTTTTCAGAGCCAAAGACCAAAATATATTGTCATTTTTTTGACTTCATGAAAAATATTATCTAGAAATGTCACATTTTTCGTGAAATGAACGGAACCTTAATTCCAGTGAAATTACTGACAATAGTATTCAAAATCAAATGGATGACAATAAATTTATTAAGGGAATATCAAAATGTGTCTAAAATGAGTTGTCCACTTGTGTTATTTTAATCCATACAAAGTCCATGTCACTAAAAATCTTGCCGGGCACCTGAATCGTGCAAGCCGAGTTCACGTGAACCGTTGAATCAAGTTTTATGGCACAAACACGTGCGAGCAATACGCCATTTTATTGGAACGTGGAAGATAGAGATTGGGGGTGGAACTGCATGTAAATATGAGCTTGGAACCGATGGCAAAGATATTATTCAAATGTGAGCCAAGTCGCCGATCAATACATATATATATCACAGTAGATAGGCATACCACACTGGAAAAGACTTCTAATCACACCAAAAGAGCTCACTAGAAAACAATATGAATGATACATAGAATCCCAAAGACATCATAACACAAGACGTGTATTGGAACAATTCTACAAACAAAAGGAGGCACTCCAACAAATTGAAAATACTCTCAGGTGACCTCGTATGGATACTAAAATCTTCAAGGGCTGGTGGCTGGAGGAGGAGTGAGGAAAGGAATAGAAGGGATTTTAGGGAGAGAAGTAGGGATGCTCGGCATTGGCGGCAAGGTGGTCGGCATGGTTGGCAAGCTCGGAAGTGGCGGTAGTGTTGGCTGGGTGGTGGGCAGCGTCGGCAGTGTGGGCTGAGGCAGGGTCGTCAGGATAGCAGGCATAGGCGGCAAGGCAACCTTCGGCAACGTTGGCATGGCCGGCAGCGGCGGCAGTGAAATAGGCAAAGTAGGTATGGTGGGAAGTGACGGTATCGATGGTACAGTTGTTTGCAACAAATGACGAGCTCCGAAGCTCATATGAATGGTTGAGAAAATTAGGGCGATGAAGAGAACGAAGCTCTTTGAGGAAGAAGCCATATCGGTGAAAGGAGAATGAGTTCTATGTTGTGTATGGGCTCAAGAGGAGAAAGATAGGCTACTTGTGATGCCAGTGTGAGGAGAATGATTGGAGTTTATATAGCAAGAGATGTTGTGCAGAAACTGGGGTTGTGATGATGAGTTGGTGACTAGTCTTTCTGGTGTGGGTAGGAAAGAACTAGGAGATGAGGTGTTTATCGGTACTTAGTTAGCTCAACTCCTCATTCCCAATCTTCCACCGGCAAAAGAGAACAAGGTCAAACAGTTGTTCTCTTCTACCAGATGGCAATGTGTTCTTGAAGTCAAAGCTTCAATCCGATCTTTTGTCTCCATGGAAGGTGAATAACAACATGCTTCTTAACTGGGATCTGTCATTGACTTGATTCTTGATCGTAACATAGTGAGCTAGGGTTTCTCGACTTACCCTTCGAACGACTGTAACATATACATGACCTTTTCACGGTCCCAAATGCACTTGAAGAAGTTAACGTCGAATTTGATGTAGTAGAATGTAATGGAACGAGGGTTCTAATATTTTTTGAAGGCTCACATGAACCGGGCGCAGATAATACCTGCCATCCACATCGAGCATTTACGTATGCCGTGTCACGCACTTGGCAGAAACTTATGACAGGTTACTTTTGTTTTTTTTTGTCAAAACGACAGGTTACTTGATGGAGCTTATTTGATCATGCTACGGTTTCACAAAACTACCAAAATGCAGGTTTCTTTTTCTATGCAGTGTTACTGGTTCATCCTTTAACAGGCGTGCCGAAGAAAGAAAAAGCAATTTGGTGAAGAATTTATCAATCTATGTATGTGAAATAAAAGGGGAAAATTACCTAATTAGTCATAAACCTATTGTATGCATGTTAATTCAGTCATAAATTTTTTAACTTTATCAATTTAGTCCTAAACATTTGCGTGAAATTTCAATGTAGTTCTCTTGGACAATTTTCGCCGGAAATCGCTAACATGACGGTCCATTCATTGCCGGCCATCCTACGTGGCACATCACTATGTTAGCGATCTCTGGCAACGATTGGTCGAAAGGATCATAGTGTAATTTCACACAAATGTTTAGTGCTAAATTGGCAAAGTTGAAAAGTTTAGAACTAAATTGGCATCCGTAAAAATGGTTTAAGACCGATTGGATAATGTCAACTGAAATAAAGACAAGCAAGATATTTTTCAAAATGACAGACCGGGTAAAGAAAATGAGGGGTGAAGGAGCGGAGAAACCCATAAGAGACGACCCGGAAAACTTGAGAAATGACGGGTAAAGGATTGTAAAAACCCATAAGACAATCTTGTTTATAAGCACTGCTCCTGCATCAGATGCAAAACAAGCGAACAGACATATTTAGCAGATGAACATGGAGATGAGCTGACATATTTTCAGAAGAACCGCGACTGTAATGACTATCGTTTACATGTTCACGACCGTAATGGCAAGTCTAGATACATCGACAGTATATGAAATCTGCAATGGAGACCATTTTGATGTCACTGGTCAATTCCCTTTTTAAGTTTAGATGCACTTCTCCAAGATATAGTAGACCAGTACATCAACCTCTCTAGTATACAGTTATTACAATGACAACAAACAGCCCATCATCGGTACTTTTGTACGGCCACGGAGCATGCAATGGAATACTTGGTCATCCAGATTGCAATTCTTGCTTACATGTTGCTGAGGATGCAGTAAGGAGGTATTACCCGTTTAGCCTCGGCGCTCGACTTAGGTTTGCTCTTAAACAGGTGAGACGAGGTGTACGTTGATGTCGTGTCATAATGATCGTGTCGGTGAATCGAGTCATTACAACGATGTCTCAATAGAATGGCAAATTGTATAATGTCACATCTAGTTCAAGTTTCTCTCAATAAATTCGATTTGTATTCTCACGTAGTGCTATCACTCAAGTCACTTAGCGTCGGGCTCGGATTTCTATCAATAGATTTTTTTTTTTAGTTCTCGTATCTTGTGAAGAAAGTTCGACCCTATATTAGAGTACTATCAAATTGTTTCCAACAGTGAAAGCTACAACCGTGATTATTCTTGCAAGCATGTTGAAGATAATGTAATTAATTCCGTAATCAATATCGAACTATAATCAAACAACATTTATTTTTATTTTCAGCAAAATGATCAGATATCTGAATTTCTGATACTGATTTATTGAACTTAGCAGACATTCCCTCCTCTAACCAATCTTTTAATTACTGTTATCACCTATATTTATGTTATGCACACAAGAACCCCCCGACATTGATTAATGGTAGTTGTGATATCTTGCTACTAAGTTCCATTGAGGGCCAGTGTACATTTTACACAAGTTCTAGAACAAGAAATTAACAGCAGTCAATCTCCACATGCATCATCATCAAGCTATCCTAAATCATCCCTAACTGTCGATTCATCTGCCGTCACGAATGAGTTTCCCTATATGTTTGATCATGACTTGCAGCAACTATTCAGAACGACTGCGGTCAATCTCCACATGCATCACATTAAGCTTCCTTAAATTGTCGTAACCATGAATTTGCTAGTGACAATCAACAAGTCATTGCAACTACATGTTTGTATCCATCATTAGCAGAATTTCTCATCGTCAACAAGTCATTGCAACTACAATCCTGTAGAACCAGGAGAGCCGTCGTAAAATCATCCACCGACGACTTCTGATGCACTCTTTCAAGCATACAGACTACTGAAGCAAATTAAATTGTAAGCATACAGATATGAGCCACTGTACTTAAGTTCGCTAAAAGAGCTCACTCGGCACATCGAGGTGAAGTCAACTGCATCGAAAAGTCCCAGAAGTATCTCACAATGTAGAAATTGAGAGTAAATTTCCTGTCTCTGATTTCACAAAATTCAAATCTAACCCATACAAATGTCCACCAATTTGGTACTATATTGATCTTGCAGTCCCATACAGGCGCTGTGCGTGCTTAAAGAGAGAGAGAGGGAGAGAGAGAGAGAGCTAAAAACTTGTCCAAAAATTTCGTATGTAGGAACCATAGACTTCTATAAATCTCAGCAAAGGCCTAGCACTATAGCAACAGCAATATCAGAAAGACCACCCACAAACAGAGTGAATATGGCCAGAAGAAGCTCCATTCCCAATTTTGAATTAAAATAAGAAAAGGCAAAGTTGTTTCCTATGACTTTTCCTACCCCAGAAGAGAAAGGTGTAAAATAACTAGTGAGGCAAGCGAAAATCAGCAAAGCAGGAAGCAAGACCATGCTTTTCACAATGAGGAAGTGAAACAATCCAGGTTGTGAAACCTAGAATTAAAAGATCTATAAAACCTAATGATGTCATTCCAGCTCTGGCACACCATGCTACAAAGTTCCAGTCAGAATATTTACCCATTGTTCTACTTGCCAGCTTCATCATATATCAATAAAAAGCCAAATCTTCCTATGTCGACAAGCCCTTTACAATCCTCCAATCCCATTTGTAAATCGGTTGACCTGCAGCAGAAATAGATCTTCACACATATTTCAAAGTCAAGTAAGAAATATGAGCCTGCCATTACAGCAAATTCTGAACAGGAAAAGACAGTGACAGGATCATAAACTTTCCATATATCAACTACTAGAAAAAACACGACGATTTGATTGACCTCCAACTTTGCTAATCAAAGAAACCATGATCATACAGCTGAGAAATAAGAAGTGTATCTGACTCTTTCTTTCCATCCCAAAGTATAATGGTAATAACGTCAAAATCTCCCCACTCAGCCTTCTAGAATGTGTGAGAGGAACTTTAGGAGCAAATGCACTAAGTATAATTCACAAAGTCCATAAATGCATGAGGTACGGAGCAAATGGGAAAACTTCAATTATTAGCGTTGAACAGATAAATTGCTGCTCAAAAAGTTGGAAGATGTTCAGAACACAATCAAAGCAGCTCCAAGAAAGTATAGCCAAAAACTATTCTGAATGAAAAACCTCCAAAAAGGAATTGCAAGCCAAAAATAAGGATGTAGGTGATGGAAATCTGAAAAAACGTAACACCCATGTTTTGTCTAATACTCACAGACATCATGATGCTCTTGACAATGCAACAAATTATTGCAGAAGTCTCTCATGGATCGTTAGGTGGATTATACTACTTCAATCATCCTTTCTTTCCTAAACACTTCAAAAAGGAAGATAAGTGACAATTCCACTACAATTCCATTCTCCCACAGAATTATTAAGTGGCGAAAGAGATCAATGTTGATTAAGAAACAACCAATATTTCTGACTGGATTTGGAAAAATTCTCTGCTAAAGAAAAAACTGAAAATTAACACATAATGCATCCTCAAAAGCGCCACTCTAAATCTCAAGCAGTTAATGAGAGACAGAGGACACTTGCCTATTGAATCTTCTTTTCCTTGTTTGAAGTCAAGGGAATCATCTTCAAGACATTGCTATCTATTCGCAGTAACAGTGCTTGAATAGCTTTATGAGCTCTACATAATTTTTCATCAATAATCTCGTGGTATTTGTCATACAAAAAGGGAACTGTCAGAGAAAGAATGACCCCTGCAAAGAAAGACCCAGATGTCTCATATATAACTGAATAATTGCAATGACAAAGAATCACAGGGAAGCATGGTAACTTACCAATATAAACCAAAGTAATGAAGTTGAAGAGACTGCCAATGTAAGAGATAAACCACAAGCCAAGTGCTACCTATCCAAAAGGGAAAAACTAAATCAGCACAATGACTTTTAAATATATGGCATGTAGATACTTGTGAAGTAATAAACCTAACCTGAAGGAAGAGTTTCCAGTTTCGACCGACTGTTATGTCACGTGCAATAGACAAGGTGTAGTTCACCCACTCTTGCATCACAACGGCAATTTTAACAATAGATTGTTCAGAAATCTCCAAGTCAGGAAGGGGAGGCAATGGTCTGAACAATTTAACTCAATTAGAAAAGGAGAAATATAACTTCTTATTGTGAAGTCTTCCACAAATGCAAGGTCAGGAAAGAAAGCATTTTATGATCGAAGTCTGTTGTGCTTGTTTTAACTAATAAGAAATAAAATGAATTGCAAATGAAACTTCAGCAACTCCGGATGATTTTTACAGGATAATAAGTTTGTTATACTTATTTTTTATACAAGCGTCTGCAAAATCAAGCATGAAATCCTTTCTCCCACATGCGTGTTCCCCACCCTCATTAAGCTTGAAAAACTATCCAACCTCGCCTATTTTCTTTTGTTGCTCTCGCCCCTGTGCCAACTAATCAAGCCAAAATCAATTTGTGCTTCATGAACACGAAACTGTTTCTTTATCTTTTTTACCATTAGAATTTAGAAATATGTAAAATAGCTGAGCCACATCTAAGTCTGTATTTTTGTCCTCTAAGAAGTTGTTTAGTACATATTCCAATCTCTAGCAGCCAAAAGCACACCTCAATAAGCTTCTATCTTCAAGTTTTAAAATGGTTCATCCATTCTTCCAACATTTTCTGCTACTCCTCTCCAAAGACATGAGAGGCAGCCCAAAATCATGGTAGATGCCTCTAAAACAAACTCTTTATAGGTGAAATAATTAGCTGCATACCTAAACAGTATTTTGTTTTAATTGCTGCTTGGACAAGTAATTTAAAGGTGACAAAAAAATTGAAAGAGAAGAAGATTACCTTAGGATCAACCAGAACTGCTTACATTTTCCAAAATCACTCCCATTAGATTTTAAAGAAAAGACACCCAATTAGAGAAAGGACTAAGGAGTACCGGTTAAGAAGAGATGCAGATTTAGCCCACAAGAAGAGGATCGCAACAAGAAGCAACAGCACATTGGCCACAAACGAGAGGACATTGTAACCGGCTCTCTCAAAGACGAACCAGAGCGCGGTGGCGCCGACCAGCAACGTAGCCCCTCCGGTCCGTTTCTTCCACAGGAGCAAATCAGCAACTGACCCAATTCGAATGGAACAAATTATAAGCACCCAAAATGCACATAAATTCGTCACATCACACCACAGAAGCAAATCAGCAACTGACCCAATTCGAATGGAACAAATTATAATCACCCAAAATGCAATCTACGGCAATAGGTGAAGGAACTGAATAATCACTATTGATTCCCCTGAAATCAAGACCCACTTCAGAACTGGACCCGAAATGCGTTATGCACGAGTGGCGTTCCACGCAGTGAGGAAAAAGGAAGACACAGAGCCAGAGCCAGAGCCAACAGAACACAGCCCACGAATGTAACGAAGTCGTGATCATCTATGGAACAACAATCAGAGAGGAACCCACTTCGATTCTCGTTGCAACGAGACTAACTTTGAAGAGTCAGACTGACATGAGGGATCCCACGAAAGAAGAACACATTTGCCTTCGTGCATTAAGGGAAGAGAGAGAGAGAGAGAGAGAGAGAGAGAGAGAGAGAGAGGGATACCGAAGCCACCGCCAAGGGCTTGATGGACAGAACGACGGCGAGGTTGATGGGAGTTTCCCATGGCGATTTTCAGGGTCTCGCGCCCCCTCGCAGATTGACAGTGATTTTCTCGAGAATAAGTTTTCCCAGGAAAAAAAAAAGAAAGGAAGAGAAAATGATGGAACGACGAGAGCAACGGACGTTACACAGCCGAGGAAGTTGTTGGGCCGGTCCAAGGTTTGAGGAATCAAATGGGCCTTTAGGCCCAAACCACTTCAAGCAAATGGCACGTGCATGAACTCCACATGCACGTGAAATTTTTTTTTTTTGAAATGTGTGGGGGAGATTATTGTGAAATGAGAGGTTTAGCTTAAAAAATGAAAAAAATTAATTATTTATGGGAGTTACCTTCACTCTTTTATAAAAATGAAAACAAATATTAAAGCAAAATTTATTGTGAGTCGTTAGCTCTCGAAAACCCTCTTTTGTATAGAGATACAAGATAAGATATAATTGGATATTTTGGATCTTGTTGGGCCGAGCCGGCATAAACCCATTTCGTTCTAGGCCGATTGAATTAAACCCTTTTTCTTGCAAAATACGATGTGCTATTTTGTCCAATACGTTGTGCCTTTACACATTTCCTAATAGTAATAGAACCTTATTAAATGTCCAAAGGTCGAGTTTATATCATGCGCTGGCGCCCCGGGTTCGGTTAAAATGATTTTAATGGATCTTGCATTTTCATTTCGATAGTTCATCAAAAGTGTTTAGTATTGCAAGATGATTAAGACTGGGATAAAAAAAAACAAATTTAACATTCTAAGAAAAACCTCCACGATGAATGACGTTTGGATCCAATCATGCATGTTAGCAATGATGCTCATCATTTGTTATGCAAGATGGTGGAAGCGCAGACAAATTCAAACAGCAAATCGAGTAATAAATGCAAAAATAAACTTGACAAAGAGGATTTACGTGGTTCAACCTAGCGTGTCAGAAATTTGTATCACTATAATCAAGACAAAGAGAAATCCGGTATTACTTAAATTCAATATTCGATTTTATTTTCTTGTTCTGTTTACTATTGTGTTTGATTGCTTGTTTGTGCAACACAACGGCCAAGTAGGGCGATGATCTCCCACTCCCACAAAGAAAACATAATATCATTATGCACGCCCCCATGTCCAACAAATTAAAGCCTAATAATATATCATACAGAGATTAATTTTCACACGCCATTAGTTAAAGAATTGACGATCTCGTTAGAGTTGGCCCGTATTACTCCGCCACTTAATGAACCAATGTCCACATCAAGAGCAGTACCATGTACAAACACTGTCTCCCAGAGATTACTCGCTACCCTCATTAGATCGGGTATGGCCTAGTCTGTCCATGGAGTACTGGAGAGGGCCCCTGTAACAGTCTGAATTTTCGATCCTTTCCCGAGATTTATGAAATAAATATTTGGCCAATGCACTTATAATGAGATCTCACCCAGAACCGCGTATTCTCGGGATGCTAACCTTAGGGGTAAGGCCAGCATGGGATTGAGTTCACACGACCAAAGAACTCGCCCTTGGTTCGACCTTCGACCATAAGGATTGACGAGGGAATGTTTTGGGCCAACAGAGAGCGATCTAATTGATTGATCGTATCCGAAGGGAACTAGCGACAGACCCTCACAATTACATGACAATCGAGGTCGCCTCGGTTCGAGCAAACTTAAACGTGATTTGACTTAGTGTCGGTCACGGGTCGAGAGCGCGTAATCCTAATGAGCCACCCGTTAGCAAGAGATAAGCTAAAGTCGCGATTGTTCGATTCTAATCATTTATTGGAATTCGGGCCCGGGAATCGAGAATTTTGAAAGTGACAATTTTGAGCGGCCGATGACGTTTTTGGCTTGGCCAACCTTGGGGCCACCCATTTCTGCAAAAAAATGGATTTCGGTTCGGGACCGGAAAAATTACCATTTTGCCCCTCAAGACTTCAATGCCGATTTTCGAGGGCGTAAGTGACTATTTTGCGAGGCCGCCACCATTTTTGAATGGCCACATATATTTGAGGTTGTTATAGCCGAAAATTGGAATTTCGGTCCGAAATTGAAAAATTACCATATTGCCCCTAGGCCTAATTTGGGGTATTCCGAATTTTGAACCAAATTTTTGGGATTAAATTAAGGTTTTAATTATATTAATATGGTCAGCCCCAATAATTGAGCTAAAGGACCATTATGCCCATTAATTATTGGATAAGAATTAGTGTCAACCATTGGATCAAGGGGCAAGATGGTCAAGTGGGCTAGATTTTGGACACATGGATCCCGCTAGAGACCCTTTGACCAGCTCTCGACTCTCTCTCTCTCTCTCCTCCTCTCTCCTTCACCGGCCACAACTCCATTTCCTTCTCTCTCTCCCGCGTTCTTCTCCTCCTTAGCTGTTCGGACGCCATCACCGCCGGTGCTGCTGCTGCTGCTGCTGTTCCGCCTGTTCCAACCACCCATCCAGCTAGTTTGTCCCGCCTTTTTAGGGTAAGTGACTTTCCCAAACGTTACCTAGGACCTCGGGTATTGTTAGACACGTTTAGGACTCGATTTAGGTGAATTTAGTGGCTGTTTTGGGACTGTGATGAGGGCTGAGTATTTGGTGGTTGTGGACTGGTTTGGCGATGGAAAATGCGAGGTTTGGGAGGTTCGGATAGGGCCGTGATGATATGGAACGATTACGGTTTGAATTCGTGTGATTTGGTGTGATTTTCGGATTTGTGACTACTATACCCGTCCGGTTTGCTATTTTTGTGGAGAATTTTGGAGGCCGAATTTGAGGAAGTTTTATCATGAAAGTTGCTCCCAACATCTTGAAGTATAACATATTTTAAATTTGGAATTTTTGGAGGCCATTTGGGTCGTACGAAAACCCATTTTCAGACCGTATTGAAACCGCCCGGAACACTGTTCATCCCGACCTTCTTGTCTAGTCGAATTTTTATAAAATTTTCCAGATTTATTTTCAATAAAATTCCTTCACGAAAGTTGTTGACGACTCTCTTTTCTATGACATATAAAAATTTCAAAGCTTTTCAAGGTGATTTGGGTGTTGAAAGAAATGTATTTTGAGGACAAAACAGTCTGTTAGAGCGAACTGATTTTGGTCTGATTTCGAGGGACAAAAAGGCATGGTTACAGATTGAACTGGATTTCGTGTTCTTGATAAGAAATGTTGATCAAGAATTTTTTTTATGATATATCCAAAATTTAGAATTTTTGGAGTTTGTATATGCGATTGTATGGTTTGTGATTGTTGGTTGATTCTGGATTGTGTCTTGGGCTGAATGTGGCGTGATTGTGTGCCGAGAGTGTGTGGCCATGAGGCGTGATGGTGTGATTGCGTATTGAGTTCGCGTGCCAAGCATGGGTGATCGCGTGGTGTTCATGCGGCGAGAATGTGTATTTGTGAAGTGTATGTGAAGTGTGCGATTGTGTGTGGCCGTGTGTATATGTGGCCGTGTGATAGGTGTGGTATGAGTGGAACGAAGGTACGGGATTGTAGGATTGGTTGGAAAGGTTCCGTCATGAGGCGTGTTCGTTTACGCGGGACGATGCCGTCCCTGACGAGGTGACGATGCCCGGCCCGACGGGGTGACGATGCCTGACGAGGTCAGAAGACCGTTGGCCTGATGCGTTTTACGCGGGCGCGGTAGAAGGAAAGTTGAGTGTAGGATTCCGTCCTGAGGCGTGTTCGTTTACGCGGGACGATGCCGTCCCTGACGAGGTGATGATGCCCGGCTCGACGGGGTGACGATGCCTGACAAGGTCAGAAGACCATTGGCCTGATGCGTTTTACGCGGGCGCGGTAGTGGTGGAAAGGTTGAGAATGAGTGGGATTTGGCAAGACGTGTGAGGATGGTGAATGCTGATGTGTGGTGGTGTGAGTTCATGTGCGAGTGTGGTTGTATCGCGTATTGTAGTGTTCGATTATGGGGTAAAATCTGCTAAGCATGGTATGGGACGTGCTCAAGTAGGTTTTGCCTTATAATCGGGGCGTACGCGCTACTGTGATGTATTACTGTGGTATGTTGGCTGTATTGTTATCTAACGTGCAGGAACGTGCATGATGGGTCCCAGGTAGGATCATATGTGTTTGTTAGTATGGTTGATTGCTGTGTGTTATGCGTGTTTCGTCTGGCGGTACGTGAGAGCCTATGTGGGGTTTGGGGTTGTACACTTATTGAGATTCATCTCATGGTTGTGTAACCACCACTTTCAGAACCCCAATCTTAAACCCGGGAGGTCCGCCTTCTCTTTTTGGAGTTCGGGGAGCCGCCATGGTGCCCAGTGGAGCTGCAGATGATCCTCCGGGGGCTTGAGCCAGAAGACGCAGGAGCAGAAGGGAAGAGGGCGACCAGTAGGTTTCCCTAGGGTATTTTAGGGGTTGTACGGAATAGGTCGTCCTATAGTGAAGCTAGGTTAACCAAGCCACCTGATCCTTTTTGTTATGTCAGTGGTTGTGAATGCTTGTTTGCTAAGCTCGTGTATAATATGATGTTTGTATGTATAATGCTTTGGCATTGTATATAAATGAATGTTGTTGTTATTTGACTGTCTGGTTGAGCTACCCCATCGTCGTCTTTATAGTCAGGGGTTTTATATTCGCTTCCGCATGTGTTTCTAATGTTTGGGATTGGGTCGGCGATGTTCCTCGGACGTCGCAATAATTCGACCGGAGCGGGATGTCACGAGCTCGATGGGGTTCGGGGCGTGACAGCCCTGCTCCAAACCATGTTAAATAACTCGGTACATTCCACATGGCCAAACCAAAAAAAAGAGAGTATTTAAATTAACCACACAAGGAAGTAACTACTTGAGTATGTATGTTAACTTATGAATCACTTAACAGGATCTCTCCCAATCAATACAAGACTTGGAATGTCATGATGTCAATAAAGCTTGGAACAAAAAGTAATCGAAGTGAACAAAGGCATGATATATACTAAAAAAATAGTAATCTCTATCAAATGTCAAAGATATTTTTTTCTTTGACAAAATAAATGTTAAAATAAATAGTGACAAAGGGCGTCGTGAGAAATTCACATTGGAGTAAGACGAGATTCTCCTGAGTTCACCGGTATAAAACTCATCCAAATATCTGACTTTGGGGAAAAGAGAATGGTGGGAAAAGAAAAGGGGCATATTATATAAATCAAAAGATTGGCATTTGGCAAACTTGAAATTGAGATAATTAGAACTCCGAAAATGAATTTTATCTTTTTTGATTTATCTATTTTTTCATCCTTTACTTTGCAAAAATAATTTCGATGAGTTATGATCAAATCTCGGCCCGTGACTTATTAAGTACTAGACTGCTGCGTCAGCGATTTTCGGCGAAAATTGACCGGAAAGACTAAATTGAAATTTCGCATAAAAGTTTAGGATTAAATTGATAAAACCGAAAAGTTTATGATTGGATTAGTATTCATGCAATAGATTTAGGACTAATTGAGTAATTTTCCCATTTGTTTCATCATCCTAAATTCTCGAAAAAATGAATAATTTATGGTTTACGTGATGGCAATTCATACAAATCAACAAAGTAATGTCATAGTCTTCCACTCCCACAAAGAGAATAGATCATCATAGTCCACTGGGAAAATTACCAAAAATGTCCTAAATATATTATAATTATGTCAATTCAGTCCCAAAATTTTTTTGCCAATTGAGTCCTAAACTTTTGTATTTATGCCAATTCAGTCCATCCGGCTAATTTTGGTGAGAAAATGTTGACACGGAGGCTGGCTGTCCTGCGTGGCATAGCCGGCACTCACGTGCACAATTTTTAATGATATTTTTTTCAAAAATATATTTATTTTTTTCTTTTTTCTTTTCTTTCTCTTTCTTATTTTTTTCTTCCCTTCTTTCTCTAGCTAGTCGTTGGACCTCGGTGACCGGCCAGAGGCGAGGGCCTGCGAGGACCTCGCCGGCCTCTAGCAAAGGTCGCCCCCGCCAGCCACTAACGAGGCAAGCCTCGCCCACCCCTGGTGAGCCTCACCGAAGGCTATCCACAAACCTAGGTCGAGGTCGCTGCAATGGTGGCCGACAAGCTCGGGTCAAGGTCATTCATGGCTTTCGAGACCTAAAATTCGAGGTTTGTGACCTCAAATCAAGGTGGTAGACATGGCAGCAACCTAGATCTAAGGTCGATAAGTTCTTATGCAACCTTAGCGGCCACGACAAACGCAAACAGAGAACACTTGGTAGTGATGGGTCGGAGGAGATGGGAAGAGAGGGAGACGAACGAGGGGATCATGCGGGCGAGGCTCGCCCTCGTTAGTGGACGGTGGGGGCAAGCTTTGTCAGAAGCCAACGAGGTCGCCTCTGGCTGGTCGCCGACGACTGGCTAGAGGAAAAAGGTAAGAAAAAAAAAGAAAGAAAAATAAAAGAAAAAATAATAATAAAAATTTCAAAAAAATATTAAAATATTATTAAAAATTATCCACGTTAGCACCGGTCGTGCCACGTAACATAACCGGTGTCCAATTCAATATTTTCCGGGTAAAATTTGTCAGATGGACTAAATTGGTATAAATGCAGAAGATTTAGATCTTAATTGAAAAAGAATAAGAAATTTAAGACTGAATTGATATAATTGCGATAAGATATTTTGATAAGTCACCCCAATCCACACTCCAAAGTCCAACACATGAAATCCTAAGAAAAGTAAAGAAAGAGTTGACTTTTACACACCATATGTTAGGTATTCATCGTTTTCAAGACCCCACACAAGACCTTGAAATCCCCATTATCTGCCACATTTGCAAGACTTGCCCCAACACTTCAAATCACATGAAAGATAAGTCCCCTTCCATTCAAGTTGTAGCTTCTCCCTCTCTCCTTTTATCGGAAGACAGCTAACCTAAGTGGTTGTCTTTTCCGGAAGTTTCAGCTTTCGTTTGGTGGCTTGTGGGTCTTGTGATGATCCACATTCACCAGCATCGTCAAGCTCTAACTTCGCTTTCATCATGCTCAATCGAGCTTGCTTCCGGCGACATCCACGACGAACCTATACCTCACGTCGTTCTTCTCGAGCCTCTCGAACGCGGTGTTGATGTAATCCATCTTGATCACTTCGATTTGGGAGCTTATGCCCTTTTCCTCGCAGAAGTCGAGCATCTCCTTGGTCTCCTTCATGCTCCCTATGAAACTCCCCGTGATCACCTTCCTCCCTGTGACCAGGAAACCGAAACCCTTGTGTGTTAGGGAGAATGTTAAATTACTTTAAAAAAAATTGCATAAGATTCGATTTATTTTAGACTTCATCGACTTGGTGGGTGAGAGAGAGAGAGAGAGTATAGTTTTATCATACCAATCATGACCACAGGGGTGAGAAACTGGAGAGGAGTGTTGATCACACCGAGCAAGATCAGCTTGCCATCAAGCTTCAACAGAGAGAGGTAAGGCTCAAGAGGGTGAAACACAGGCACCGTGTCAATGATATAGTCCAGTGAATCAGCAGCCTCCTTCATCCCGGTCTCGTCCGAGCTCACCAAGTACGCGTCGGCGCCCAGATGGTCCAACGCCTCCTCTCTCTTCCGGTCTGATGAGCTTATCACGGTCACGTGGTGTCCCATGGCCTTGGCAATCTTCACCCCCATGTGCCCGACCCCACCCAGCCCCAGTATTCCTCCTCTCATGCCGCTCTGCTTCAGCCCAAAGTGGTTCAGCGGACTGTACACCGTGACCCCTGCGCAGAGCAGCGGTGCCGCCTGCTCTGAGGTCATCCCGTCCGGTATTTTCACTAGGAACCTGAATTAAGAACCCGAACGTCGATCACATTGACTCTCCACTAATTTACCGATACAAGATACAAAAGGTTGAGGCTGAATTGTTCCTTCAGCGTGTTCTAAATTTGGTTCTTCATAGTCATATTGGTCCAATGACTCTATTCCATACATAGTCATTAGTCATTCAAGCAAAAAGCCTAAGGGCACAAAAGAAGCAGCTCCAGTTAGATCTTTCTTTGCAAGGTACAGAACATATTCAAGGATTCATAGTTTTCTCCATTGTGATCCTCTGCAGACCAGAAGTTTGTAAATGCTTCAAAAATTATCGAATATCAAGAATATGCGGTATCTGTCGCCCTTAGAATATGAGTTCTTGGATAGTACCGGTATTGTCATTGATTCTGTCCACCACATAACTTGTAAATTTAGTCTTGATGCTTTCCCGTTACGGACTCTTATCATATGTAGGGAAGAAATTAAGAACCTCTCTATACAATAAAACAAATCAAAGGTCAATTTCAGCCTCATGTCCCTGGCTAGTATGTGTCGAACAATAGCCATATAATTCTAAAAACGAGCATCCTACCTGTCCTTTCGATTGCTAAACATCATCGGATAAGATAATTAATTGTGTCCAAGATAAACTCTCTTTTAATTTTTTAACTTTTTAAGATCTTGCAGCTCAGACATTTTAACTTTCCTTAATTTGGAAAAACACCTAATATTTTCGTAACACAAAATCGTTCATACGTGAACTTGAATATTCTTTGTGTAATATTCCAGAAGTTAAATTGTATTCAAATTAGGAAGCTAATACAAAAAAAAAATGCCTTTTTGTTTATGAAAAATAATGGCGGACATCCAATAAGCCAAATTAGATTTTCACTTCGTTTATTAATTCTTTCCCTTTTTTCCAGGCACATTTGGGCTACTTTTTGCTAGTGGAAGACAAGGCAATAGTTTCCTCCTTTTTCTAGGGAAGCAGACGCACTTACTTCTGATGAACGACCATCTCACCGGCAAAGCCACCTTGGGTTGGCTTCCCATCAGTGTAAACATCATTGTAAGACCAGATCTTCTTGCTGCAGTATTGCTCGATGTCGGATTTGCACGGCGTGCAGTTCCGGCAACACCCCACGAGCACCCCGACCCCGACCCGGTCCCCGGCTCTCAGGCCGGTCACCTCCGATCCCACCTCCAGCACGTCCCCTACAACCTCATGGCTACAAACAGGTGAACCAAACATTGATGGAGAACATGTGTACACTGTAGTTTAATCAGTGCAAGCAAGAGAGAGAGAGAGCAACAAAGATGTGATGTAATTACCCTGGGACCATGGGGTAGTGAGACATGCCAAGGTCATTCTTCATCTGGTGAAGGTCACTGTGGCAAATCCCACAACAGAGCACCCTGATGTAAGCATCCTCAGGACCTGTGCTCCTGCAATTAAACACAGGCAAACGACAGCAAATCCGATCCATTAGCGTCTCAGCTCACAGCTCTCACTTCCAAGTGCCCAAAGAACAAAGAAAGGCCGGACGAAAACTTCGAAACTCTGCCTGAGATCATAAGTGTAAGATGTGAGAGCCCCGGAAGGGTCTCCGGCAGCCCAGCCGGTGGTCTTCCTCTCCACATCGATACTGCCCATTTGCCTAGTCTGAGCGCTGATTGAGGAGAAGTTGATTGATCAGCAGTTTTTATACAGGAGAGAGACGAGGACGATGGAGGAGAGTAAGTGAAGGGTTAAGGTTGACATCTCAGCCAAAATGCGTAGGGAGAAAGGTAGGGGTAGGTGAAACTGGTGTGGGAGGGAGGAGATTTTGTAGTTGCTTCTGTGTGAAAACATGCCAAGTGTCCAAAGATTTGGAACATCGTATGATACCTTTCTTTTAAGAAAAGCTGCTTTTATTTTGCAAAAAATAAATAATTTAGATAATATTTTTTTAAATAATTATTTATATCGCTTAATATGATTAGTCAATGAAAATTTTTTCATTAACGACGACAATTTATGTCTAAATATTTTTGTAAATAATGAGAATATTTTTTATTCATTCATTTTTATAAATAATACAAGTGATCATTTTTTAAAAAAATATTTTCGAAATTATTCATTTCCTATGAAATAATTGAAGCCAAGTTATTCGTGCTTATACGTGGAACTGCAATATTCATATCTTGCATGACAATAGATATACTATTACTTATTTTCAACTCTTTAATAAATTGCATTCAATTTAAACTTTTTCTTTCATTTTTTCAGTAATATCTTTAGATTAATGTGATTAATAGTGGGTTAATGTGTTATATACATTAGTTGGGAAAGTTGTCCATATGTCCTAAAACTATTGTATGACGGCCAATTAGTCATAAACCTTTCAATTGTGCTAATTTAGTCCTATGCTGAGAGCCAGGAAAAACAAGGTCAGTTTACAGCAGGTATGCTATCCCACACGGGCAAACCTCTTGTTCAAGTCCTTCAAGGACTGCCTTTTAGCTGTAAAACTACATGGAGATTTAGCTTAGAGCATAGAGACGCTCAGAGTGACTAGGATGATGTTATGCCTAACTGGTCGAGCTGCATTTCTTAGAGGATCATGCAAGCTTTGAAGAAAAGGATTTTTAGAGAGGCATGAAAAGTGAGAACTCTGAAATTTCACAACTTTCTCTCTTATTCCAAACCGAAGGATTACATGGCCTTATATAGGCATTGGGGAATACATGGTGGACGAAGGTCCAAGTAAGACAAAACACACTTAGAACGGGGTATATTATTGGACTTCTGTCCACATAAAACAAAACTCACCTAAAACTAAGTACATTATTGGGCACACCTACAACACACTCATAGAACACTTAAAGCCCATTCATAGGTGAAACAGGACCCGGCTATGATATGCTAGAACAAATAGTGCTGGTTAGGTGGAATAGTATAAGCTTATCTCCATCCAGAGTTATGTCATAATCCGAGCTGTCTGAACTATTTGCACATTCATATTCTGCTATCTGTCTCTGTGTCAAAATGTGTTCGAAATTATCTTCAGTGATGACTGGCGTTGGGTTCGAGGAAGAGGATGCATGTGTCGAAAGGTCCGGAAGAGCGTATTTGGAGTGTTTTGTGGTAACAGGAGTTCATTCCACATTCGATGCCAAGGTTTGGTTGTGGATTTTGTTCGAGGTAAGATATTTGAGGCAAAGCCGGGTGGGGCCAATTTCCTAGTTTGTGAGTAGTGAGAGGCAGAGCTGGCATCAAGTCCAACGGATAAAGACAATGGTCCATAGTCATAGGGGTCTTGAGAGAGTGGTCCACCCCATGGATCCTGAGATGATTGTACTGGATCTTTAGATGACTGTGCTGGATCTCCTATGTCTGACATTTCGTGATCTTGTGATAATCCGAACTGTGCTTGTGCCTGTTCATGCTCGTATTCACTGAGTGCTTGTCTTGTTACTGATGAAGATCCTTCGTGATCCCATGAAACGGGTGTGAAGTAATCCCATGCTTCTTCTGGGATAATACGATTTTTTTGGCATAGGATCCTCTAAAGTTCCCTGTAATTATATTCAACAGAATCAATGCGACTGGGGAACGATTTATAGACACGTACAACTTGTAGTTGTGACTGGGGCTTGTAGATAGTAATACCTACTGAGGCAGGAGTATCGGAAATGGTACCATTATTGTGCACAAACGTCCAAGGACGGTGGAGGAGTACAATAGTGTGTGTTTCCGGATCATCTCAGACTTTTTTCAATTCTTCGAGAAAGAGTCATTTCCAATAAACAGGAGGGTAAAACCATTTGAGCACAGTTAAAAGGTTTTTCTCGTGTTCATCGAGCCCAATGTAATCAGCTATGAGCAAGTTGGTTAATTGGAGAAGAAATTTTATGGTGGGAAACTCAATAGCTATTAAGTACTTGTTGGTTAGATACCATAATAACCATTTAAGTTTGTCAATAAAATCAATTTTTCTCCAAAGTAATGGGTGAATGAAGGGGTATCTCGAGTGTAATCCAGAAGAGTCAAGAATAGATCCTCCATGGTGGCGAAAAAGGTCTATGTGGCATTGCCACATGAGGTTGTCAAGATTTTCAGTGAGCTTATCTTTTTGAATTTACTCAATTATTTCTTGAGGATATTCCAGGCTTGGCCAATCTCGGAACCGTTCAATCTTGTACTTGTCTGGCCGGAATGGGAAGGAATGCCTGAGAATATATATGTTGATTTCTGCTGATGCTTTTGGTCTAGAGAGAAAATCTGCAAGCACATTCTTCTTTCCTGCAATGTATTTGGTTTCGAAGGAGTATTTCGAAAACCATTCAGCTCATTTGAGTAGCTGAGGATGAGGGATCTGCTTCTACTTGAATTTGGTCATTTGGGGAAAAGAAGTCATATCCAGTTCTACTAGAAAATGGTGGCCAATAAGATGGAATTCGAACATTTTTATTCCATTCTTTACTGCCAAAATTTCCTTGAAGGTAGAATGATAATGCATTTCTACTTGAGAAAACTTGCCACTTTTGTAAGCGCAAAGATGTCGCTTACCATGAAGTTCTTCGAACAATATGGTCGCCCAATATTCATCATTGGCATCAGTCTGTAAAATTCTCTTCCCTGTGGATGGGATTTGCAGAGGGGGAAGATCTTGCATAATTTCTTTGAGTTCCGCAACTACTTTGGTTTATGTCTTTCCCCATGGCACTGGGTGCTTTTTTAACATCAGTTGCAAATGAATTAACAACCTTGCAATATTCGGGATAAAATCTCTAAGATAATTGATTATCCTGAGAAATTGTTGAACTTGCTGGGTTGTAAAATTCTTTTTAGGAAATTTTAGTAATTTCCTGGCGATGTGCGGTCTTGGATAATATGTACCTTTGTTAAGGTGCATGCCGAGGAATTCAACTTATGTTTGGGCAATCGTCATCTTTTTTTGAGAAAGCATGATGCCATATTTCTTCATAATTTCTACAAATTGCTCAAGAAGTCGATAGTGAGATTCTTCGTTTGGGCTGTAGAGCAATATGTCGTCAATATAGACAGTTGCACTGGACAAGATCGGCTGGAATATGCGACACATAGCCTTTTGGAATAAGGAAGGAGCAACCTTGAGACCAAATGGAAGAACTCGCCATTGAAAGTGTTGGTTGGGGATACAGAATTCCGTTTTTGGTCTATCAGCAGGATGAATGCCCAATTGCCAAAATCCAACTTTAAGATCAAACTTTGAATAAATATGGGCTTTAGTGATTCCCGCAAAAAGGAAATTTGTCATCTTGGAGGAAAAGAATAAGAGGCTGGTAATTTATAACCAATCTCATTTTTTCTCGATTTTGCTCAGCACGTTTATTGACATAGAAAGCTTCACAAGCCCATTGAGAATTTGAAGTTTCAATAAGGCCTTGTTGTAACAATTTTGAGCATTCTTTTTGAGCAAGAGCCAAATGCTTTGGATTCATTCCCGAGTGACTTGCCTTAGTAGGATTTATATCCTCATTTTTCTTGAAGGGGAGTAGAACATAGAATTCTGGATTTTTCCACAAAGGATGAGAAAATTTTTGGGAGAATTCGAAATGATTTTCTGAGCATGATTCCAACAGTTTCTGCATGATTGGATCTAACAAACTCATTTAAATGGAAAAGAGTCTTTGGATATTGACAAATTCAGAGAATTGGTCTTTATACCTAAGTCCTTTTCTAGGAACAATTCTCAAGTCTGGAAGTTGAGTCATGATATCCCACCCAATAATCAAGTCTTTATTGGGAAGACTAAATCCAAGAATTTTGGTGGTAATGGAGCACTGAGGGAAAAACTGAATGGACACAGGTGTGGTGCGAACATTTGTAGAAAAAGTGTCTCCTAAAGCAGAGTTGAAATACCGAACACAGGAAGTCCAGTATTCTTCAGGAAGAACTTTAGTGTCTAAGATTGAAGCACTAGCACCAGTATATATGAGGGCAATGACGGAAATTGATTTGGCAAACTTTGAAAGATAGATTTTGACTGGGAAGTGGGGACAATGAAGTTGACTGGAACGTAACTAGGGTCCAGATTTTCAGGTTGTGATGATAGATGGAAAAGTTCTTCAGGTTCTGAATCAGAATCTGTTTCACTGAGAGTGAGATAATAAGGAATGATGCAAAGTGTTTGGTCAGTGGGATTTTTATCTACAGAGAACAGGGTTTCAATATCATCATTGTTAAGAGAGATTCCTATTTCTAGTTCGATATTATGAATGAGATGATTCTGACCTTTTTTTGCCCGAGGACAATTTTTGGCAAAGTGGCCCTTCTTGTTGCAAATGAAGCAACGATTTGGTTTTTTGCGTCCTGTGAAGTTTTTTCGTTTCCGCAGGAATCGCCATTTCTTCCTTCATCTGAAGTGCTTAGATCTTTTCACTCGATACTTTTTGAAGTGCTTGTTTTTCTTTGAATATTCTTCGCAGGAACCGTCACAATCTTTCTTTGAGCATTTGATCCTCAAATATTGTTTGGAGCAAGCACCATCAAGTTCACGATTGTCTCTGATGTAGTTTTTCATCATCTGTCTTCTGAGGCAAAGTTCATCAAGACAAAGATGGATTTCTTGCTGTAGTTCTCCAAAGGGGATATCAACAATTCTTCTTTGCTTGTTGAGAAAAGATCTCTCAACTTGTTGGGAGAGTTCTTTAGGAATGGAAGCTAATAAGACTTGTTTCAAATTCGGATCAGCTCCTAGGCCATAAAAGAGTTTAAGCATTTCTCTGTAATGGCGATC